GTGGGTAAGCTTGAGCAAGTTTTCAAATGGATAATTTGAATGCTTTTCACCGGCCCTGGGCTGTAGATGCGGTTTCTAGATGTCAGGTAACTGGTCCTAGAGTGAGAAGAAAGATTGGCTTGGTGTATGTGGGAGTAAGATAAAGGAAGTGGCTGGGGACATGGGCTTTAAACTGACTGGTTTGCATATGAAAAACAGTCACTCGTACATGCTGATTCTTATATCTAGGAATTGGCTCTGGGATGAGCAATCTTGCTTAAGGATTAGCAAGGCCCCCAAGGTGTTAAAGTATCATAAAATATACCACCTCTAACAATATTCTGAGTACAGCCTAAAAAATCTTTCCTGATCTCATCTAACTTCATTCCTATTGTTTCCTTAAATATGCTCTGCACACCAGAGAGCTCTGACACATTTCCAGCCATTCCTCCACCCTACACTCCACTGACTGCTTCTGTGCCTTGAAAGTTGTGGTTTCTTTTGCCAGAATGCATTCCTACCACATGGGGCAGATCTGTTTCTATAAAAGGAATAACCTTGACACACAAAATTATTGCCTTCCTGAAGTCTACAAACATTTATTTTCCTGCTTCACCAGTCAAATAATCCTCTCAAAGCAGTGAGATTAGTCTGATAGGAATTATTTTTGGTAAGCCAATGAAAGTTACTAGAGTCAGGGATCCTTTTGTTTTAAGAGAAAAAATGGGTAACTGTCCACTCATTTTTCAAGCAAAGAGGCATGTTTTCTTCTCCTGTGTGAAACCTTTCATGGCACTTAAAACCTGCTCTCACCTCTCCCAACAGGGTCTCCACTCTGGCCTGCTTCTTACCATCTGGTATGATAATTTTCTCAGATGTATTGCAGTAGTTGTTTAAAAATATTCATTTTCCCAATAAACAACCTCATTCTTAGAACTAGAACACATGCTTTAGTCCTATCTCTTGTCCCCAGTGCCTTTCAGAGTATCTAGAACATAATAATTCTAGAAAAATATGCAGTTCTTGGGACAAGTGATGAGCCTTAGAAAGATTGGTTTTGAATCAAGGCTCTAGCACCTTTTAATTTTATGTCCTTGAACAACATATATACAACCATTTTTATGTATCAGGTAACTCATCTATAAAATAAGAACCACAATTACATTGACTTTACAAGACTATTTTGAAGTCTAAATGAGATGACAACCACTTAGCAGGGTACCTGGCACATAATACATGTTCAAAAAATATTACTATGGGGAAAGCTGACAAGTTGCTTTTAGCCAGCATGACACCTTTGTTCAAATTGATACATTAACTAAAGTTGTCACATTTGCTAATATGATAATTTTCTTATCACTTCAGAATTAACTAATGAGTTGAGAATTGAGAATGGATATGTTTGTTGCAAAAAAATACCTCTCTAGACACTCAGAATAAGTAAAGTCCACGTATAAAGGCATATAGTCATAAATGAATTGATAATCAAAGATTATGCTTCTCTAAAGTATCGTTGATATGGGTGAAAAACCAAGAATTTTATAATCAGATTGCCTTGGATCAAATCCTAATTGCACTTATTTCTAAATTTACTTTGGGCAAATTAATGCTAGTCTGCATATATTTTCCTGTTTAGAATATGAACAGTAATACATATGCAAGGAATTATTTAACAAATAAAATTCCCAGGAAGGCATTTTGCAGAGAATATATTCCCAATATGTAATAGATATTATCATGTTTAAATCATTTCCTTCATTTACGCTCAGTAATAAAGTAAGCCACATTTTTAAAATTAATTTCCTTTTTAGAGACATTCAAAACTATCAATGCCGGAGGTGCTTAAGGAATCAAATACACTGAGGACCCTGAACAGGTATAAATCACAGCATCCACCATGTAATCCTCTGTTGTTTGTGACTGTGACAATTGCAGGTAAGTGTTCTGGTACTGAGTGGGGATAATACAATGTTTCTTTACTCATGTTCAGGGTTATAAATATACATATGTCTCTATAAATATAAGAGACATAGCAAACAATTGAGCCAGTGCTTGGAAACATTTATTGACCCAGCATATATGACATACTCACCAGTGACAAAATCTGAATCTCTCAACTTTGTCCTATTGGTTTTGGGTTAGGATTTGTAACCAAAAAGAGGGGTTGTCCCTAGCAACTGTCCAATAGCAACTGCTAGCCTAACATGAAGTATGAAAGAAGGTGATTTACTGTTAAGTATTACATCCTCTGAGAAAGACAACATCATTTACCAACTGCATAATAATTAGCAACTTATTAAATCTTAGTTTGGTCTAGTGTAAAATTATTGCTGTTAATCTTGAAACATACCTGTGATGGATGTTGTGAGGAATAAATAAATACAACACTAAATACAGTACTAGGTTTGAAGTAAAGTGTTCTTAATTGTTAGTTATTACTTTTATAAATGATCAAATTCCTGAATCATCATTAGATGAGAGAATATTAGAATCAGAAGATGTTGAGACCAGCAGTTTTCAACTTTTTTCTGCAAGAAAACTCTTGCAGTTCCCCTGGATTCATGGTTTCAAAGATTCTGCCTCATCCAAAAAAAATTATTCCTATTTTGTATGAAGTAATCAATTTAAAACAAACAGCCCACATGGCAACAGAATAAAAGTACAAATAAATATGATTTAACATGAAATGATATATGTTTTCCATCACATGCAGATGGGAAAGAGCATTCTCTAGTGAAGGGAAAAGAAAAGAAGTTAAACTAATGAGATGTAATACTAGATAATGAGCAGAACTACAAGAGAACAATAAAGTAGGAAAGGGACACAAGAATCACAGGGAAGTAGAATGCAATATGGTGACCAGAGAGCACCTCTAGGAGGTAACATTAGAAACCATAAAGAACTGAGAAATGTGAGGGAACTAGCTATAAAGGTTCCTAAGGGGAAGAGCATTACAGCAATAGGGTAGAGGGAAGGCAAGGCATCGATCATAGCATGTTATTCTAGAAACCGAAAGGAAGATAGCATGGCTGGAATGGATTGAACAGAGATGAAAAGAGCAGGAGAGGTGAGCAAACAGATAAAGAGGGCAAGAGCACAGAGATCTTGCACATCTTTGTAAGGAATTTGACTTGTATTTTGATTGAGTGAAAAGTCATTGGAGTTCTTAAAACAGAAAACTAGCATGATCTAACTGACATTTAAACAGGATCATTTTGGCTGCCATGTGGAAAGACTCAAGTGGGATAAGAAGAGAAGCAGAAAGACCAATTAGCGGCTAATGATGCCCCTGAAATAGAGTGAAAACATTACAGCTGGAAAAAAATTAGTCGGGTTCTGAATATATTTCAAAGGCAGAATCCAGGAGAGGTTGCTAATTAGTAAGTGACAGTGTGAAAGCAAGAGAGGGGTCAAGAAAACATAAAATGACTGTCCCTAACATGGAATAATGCCATTCATTGCAGTGGAGAAGACTGAATGAGGACCAGGTTTAGAAAGAATTATTAGTAAAATTTCTTTTTAATGATAACACTTAAGCAAATAATATAGCTCGTAGAATACAATGATAGAACAGTATTCCCTGTGAACTCAATTTTCTGGAGATGCCCAGGAGACATTACAGAAGAAATATTAATTAGGCATTTGAATCCATGAGTCACACTTCAGGGAGGAGGCATAGTCAGGAGAGGTAACATTATAGTCATGGGCATGTCGAAGCTTTTAAAGTCATCAGATTGGATGAGATTGCCAGAAACTGATGGCAGATGGAGAAGACAAGAGGTTCGAGCATTGGTTCAGGGGGCAAGAGAAGTGGAAGAAAACTGGACAAGTATGGCAACCTGAAACCCAAGTGAAAATTTTCTAGAAAGAAGGAGGAATAAACTATGAGAAATGCTGGAGATAGATCTAATCAGATGAGGACTTCACACTGGGCTTAGCCATGTAAAGTCATTGAAACCTGAGTGAAGTGGAGGTAGCAAAAGCTCAAAAGGAACAGTTTTATATTGTTCTCTATTTAGCCAGAAATAACACTTTATCAACATTGATGTTTATTAATGCTCATATTGAGAGTTGAGTGTGACCCGGGTGTTTTATCCTAGGTCCCAAGAGGATGAGCATACAAATAAAAATCATGTGCACTTGAATTTTTATTTCCTTACCTACAAAATAACTTAGGCTAATGAGAAGTTAGTATGTGTTTAAACACAAGAATTGTGTTTAAAGCACAAGACGGATGTATATTTGCTAGGTATACTTCTGTCTACCCATTTCAATAGAACATTTGTAATTCTATATACAGAGAATCCTAGGAGAGTGAGTGGGTTACCAAGTAATCATAAGCAACACTGTAGTATATATAAATTATTTTTTATTGGTGTTTAAAATTATTTTTGTTATGTTTATTATAGAATGTATGAAATACATTCACAGTAAATTCTCTGTATTTTGTAATTTCATCATTGTTTATCATTGTTCTGTATACATTTTTCCCAAAATTTTCCATCTATTCTCTTTATCCTTTTTTTCAATTTCTTAGTATTTTCTTAGGCCTATATATAATATTATGAAATATGAATTTATAATGCCTTCATGTTTCAATATATAGAAGCACTTGAATAAAAAATACTTTTTAAAAAATATATTTAAGAGGGAAGCCCAGTATTCTAAATACAAACAAGTGACACTTAAAGATAGAAATTTACACATTTAGCAAAAAAGAAAATGGACAAGAGGAAGATGATCAAAGTATAAGAAAAACAGGAATTATTGGCACATATTTTTTTATTTGAACAGTCATTCTTAAAGGCAAAATATTATTAAGTAACTTAAGAAATTTAAAGCTGAATGCATAATTACAGTGTCTGTTGCAAAATGAAAACTTCCTAAAACAAACAGATTGTTGGTTCTAGACATCAAGGATTAGTGCAGATGTGATCTTATGTAACATAATTCTACATATTCATCACAGCGATTCAAACTGAGCTAATGTTCCTTCCTCATAGGTGAGATTCCTTACAGCCATGGAGAGGAGCAATCGCACAGTGACCGAGTTCATCCTGCTGGGCTTCACCACAGATGCAGGGATGCAGCTGGGACTGTTTGTGGTGTTCCTGGGCGTGTACTCTCTGACTGTGGTAGGAAATATCACCCTCATGGTGTTGATCTGTAATGACTCCCGCCTCCACACACCCATGTATTTTTTCATTGGAAATCTGTCATTTCTGGATCTCTGGTACTCCTCTGTCTACACCCCAAAGATCCTAGTGACTTGCATCTCTGAAGACAAAAGCATCTCCTTTGCTGGCTGCCTGTGTCAGTTCTTCTTCTCTGCTGGGCTTGCCTATAGTGAGTGCTACCTGCTGGCTGCCATGGCTTACGACCGCTACGTGGCCATCTCCAAGCCCCTGCTTTATGCCCAGGCCATGTCCATAAAGCTATGTGCATCTCTGATAGCAGTCTCATATTTGGGGGGCTTTATTAACTCTTCGGTCATCACCAAAAAGACGTTTTCCTTTAACTTCTGCCGTGAAAACATCATTGATGACTTTTTCTGTGATTTGCTTCCCTTGGTGAAGCTGGCCTGTGGCGAGAAGGGTGGCTATATGGTTCTGATGTATTTCCTGCTGTCCTTCAATGTCATCTCCCCCGCCCTGCTCATCCTGGCCTCTTACCTCTTTATCATCACCACTGTCTTGAGGATCTCCTCCTCCCAGGGTCGTCTCAAAGCCTTCTCCACATGCTCTTCCCACCTGACCTCTGTCACTTTGTACTATGGCTCCATTCTCTACATCTACACTTTCCCCCGGGGATCTAGCTATTCTTTAGATACGGACAAAATAGTTTCTACATTTTACACTGTGGTATTCCCCATGTTGAATCCCATGATCTACAGCCTAAGGAATAAGGATGTGAAAGAGGCTCTGAATAAACTCCTCCCATAAATCAAGATTATCTCCACCAGAGGAGAAACAAAGATGCTTTGAGATTGAGTTTGTTTTGGTTTTTTTTTTTTTGTATTTCAAGCAGAGTTACCATTGTGCTCCATCATGACCAATCCCACCCGTGATACGTGACAGTTACAGACATGTAATATAAGAAGATTAGGAAAATTTAGAAGAAAAATCCTGAATATATAAGAATTTGAGGTAAATGTCTTGTCTTTCTAAGTTAAAAGCAAACATAAAACTTAGGCCCAAAGCCTCTCCTATATATTCATAAAGTGATGAACAGCCTACCGCATTAGCCTAAGATTTGGTTGACTGGTACAACTACTATATAGAATAGTAGTTGCCAGTGACTGGGGCAGGGTGAGTGGAGGAAGGAGACTTGTTGATCAAAGGGAACAAAGTTTCAGGTAGATGTAAGGAATCAGTTCTGGTGAACTATTGCAGGACAAGGTGACTACAGTTAATAGTAATGTATTGTGTATTTCAAAATCACTTAAACAGTGCATCTTAAACGTTCTCACCACAAAGCAATGATAAGTATACGAGGTGATGGACGTAATAATTAGTCTGAGATGTTCAATCCACAATGTATACATAAACTGAAGCATTGTATTTTACCCCCACAAACATATAAAATTATCATTTGTCAATAAATAATTTAAAAAACAAAAAGATGAATATGACAAGTGGCATTTAATTTTGATTAGTTTTTCAATGTAAGACAGAGAACTAATGTAATTTGTTTATAAACATACATACTTCCTTGTTTGAAGTGGCATAAGCAGTAAAGAAAGAAAATGCAAGAAACTGAATCAGACAGGTAAACCCAGAAAATGTAGGAGAGTCACACAGAGTGAAAAAGTAAATCCACGTTGGCAATCATGGACATTAACACGGTAAGTGGGTGCAAGAAATAAAATCAATACAAGTTGTAACACTCAGTAACACGGCCAAAACAGAGTCCAACAGTGTAATTCTAAGACGTTCAATTTAGGCAATGTTCTAAAAAGGAACGCTATTTATGCCAACCCAGTCTTCTGGTTGTCTAAAATACGTGTTTTATTGCCCACTAATGATATTAAAATTCCTATAAAATACATTTCTTAAAGTAATGTTAACAGACTCAATTAGTATATTACAGTGGCAGTAAATCAATTACTTTATGTTGCTTGACTGTAACTAGAAAATACATCATTTCAGAGGGAAGCATCAATTACAGAAAGTAAAACTGATGTGACACAACTATTCTTAAAACACCGTGGTGTCATAAACCCTGACAGGTAACTATAGAGGAGAGTCCTCAAACTACTTGAGGGCTTCTTTTCTAATATTTTTAGGGGAGGCTACCAAAATTTATTCTTCAAATAAGAATATGCCCATATATTGTAAACATGGCTGGCCTACATACATATTTATATTGTTTTATGCTTGGAAGTTAGCTCTGGAATCATGTCTAAGTAATATTACAGAGATCTTAGTGAAAAGGTAAAGTACAGCTAATAATAGTGTTAGGAAGACATAAAAATAAAGAAGCACATAAAATATAATGAAGCATGTGGCCAGATGTTTTATAAAATAATTTAGAAATCTGTTTAAGTATAAAATTAGCAGTAAGTTTTTCACTCACTTTTGGAAATGTTTCATCTGAAAATTATGGATTTGAAGTATTCAGAAAAATATTTTATATTAATTTGAAATTAAAATATAAATTCCTAAGGGAATTTGATTACTGAGGTCAAAAATAAATTTTAAATTCTTGAGATAAAGTGGTTTGTAAGATTTTTCTTATATATGTTTTCATAAATAAAACATTTTTAAAAGTACAAAAGCATATGGGTGGTCTCTTCCTTACAAAAATTTTCTTAATGTCCTTTGAAAAATGCACAACTCCTAGTGGTTGTATTAGTCTGGATTCTTCAGAAAAACAGAACCAATAGAATGTGTGCATATGTGTGTGTGTATTCAATTTGCATATTATATTTACAATATACACATATTAATTTTGAAGGGTGGCAAGTCTAAATCTGCAGTGTGGCATAGAAGACTTGAGACCAAGGAGAGCTGTGGGTATACTTCCAGGCTGGCAGCCTAGAGACTCAGGAGAGTCAATGGTGCAGATTAAGTCCAAGAGCAGAGTGAGTGCCAGAGAAGTCCCTCTTGCTTAGGGAGGTCTATTCTTTTTCTTCTTTTTTCTATTTTGGCCATTAACTGATTGGTTTTCTTATTTAAGATTGACTTGTTAGTAATTTTTCAAGATGGTAGATTGGAGGTTTGGTTAGTGTGTATCTTACACTTGGACAGACTAAATAGTGCAAAGACATGCTGTGAGGATTTTTCCAAGAAGCAACAGGAACTTAACAGGAAAACTGAAAGAAGCCACAGACCCTTTCAAAGAAGTTGTGGCTGCAGCTTTCACCATGCCAGGTGGAAAACTGTGAGTTTCCAGAGCATGAGACGGGGAGGAACTACATCAGGGTATACACGCACACTGGGGAACCTGGCAATCCAGGCCACGGAGGAAGGCCTTAATGCTACCCAGCACTGGAGTTGACCTCCTGAGCAGTGGGGAGTAAATGAGAAGGGGCAGCATCAGGACATGCTTTGTATGCACTCACAGTCACCAGTGGGGTCAGAGGGAAGCCATTCCTAATCCTAACTCACAGAGGACTTTGCAGAAGTCAGCCAGCTAACCTAGGTGGGACAGTAAGAGAAGCTCCCAACAGAGATCTGTGATATAATCCTGAATGGGGATGAAATCCATTGTCCAGAACTGAGGCACAGGGAGAAAGTTTGCTAAAGCCTTGCACGCACAGAAGTTGCGGGTCCCTGCTTCATGGGGGCGAATGGGAGAGCCATCTTCTGAAAGCCGTGGTGTGTCTCCCTTAGGAAGGTCAGTGGCCTGGAGTCTATTTGAGTTCTGAGTGCAGGCTGCCTGACAACCAAGTAGCTGCTGCAGGTGTAATACTGCAGGTGTGAGACCTATCTAGCCACATGTGTAGGAGCTGGGTGGGGCTTACTGCGGCCTGCTACTCCTCACTCCCCTGTGGATTCTTCTGTTCAGCAGAGGCAGCTATGCTCCTCACTGAAACATCAACCTAGTGACCATGGAACTGCCATTCAATCCTCATTGGGGTAGCTGCCTGTGCCCACACATGGGCAGCCAGAGTGCAGACTTGCCCGACCCAGCCCTCATCTAGCTTTGCCCACTGACCAACCTCGTAGCTGAACACAAAGAACAGAGACTTTTGAGAGCTCTGTGGTCATGTTCATTGCTTGAAACACCAGAGTACCTCCTCTGGGTAACATAAGTCAAGCACAAACCCCACTGCTACCACCACAGCTGGCGCACAACCTCCTATGTGAAGTCTATCAATTATGGCATCTGCAGTACATTATGGTATCTCCAGGCAGAGCAATGCAGCACCCAGGAAGGAAGAAACTTTTGTGTGACTTCATCTATCAGTATTGCCTCCATCATCCTGGCTAACCAGGAGGTCTTCTATCTGCCCATGTGACTTGTTCCTTATTACTATAACAGGTTTCTGAGAAAGCCAACATACTAAGGCTATTTGTAATCAAGGGCATCTTACAGAGTCTACATCACTCCCCTACCACCCCATTAGATCTTGTGCTGATACCTGTGACTGGGAGACATGAGGACAAGTCACATTGCTGGATCCAGTGCAGACATTCCCAGCACCAGCCTGGAGTGTAGCAGCCACACCAGGTGTCTAAACCCAGAGGAGAAGCAGAATTCACAGTAGTCTATCCCCGAGGGACTCCTATTCCTAGGGGAACAGGAAGCACACTACATCAAGAGAACACCTCACGCAACAAAAGAATTCAGAGAGCAGGCCTTGGGTCTCACACTTTCCAATTGTGGTAAATTTCAACAGAGGGAAAAGTGCAATGCTTGGCTCTGTGGGGAAAATCTTTAGCTCTACCTCAATAGTCAGGCAGCCCTGGTGCTTGTGAAAGTCTGGAGAAGGGTACTTCTTCTCCTTCTCACCCACCATTATGGACATAGCTGGGGCTTCTCCCAAGGGAGCTCAGGGAGGTTGCACCTGTAGCATGTCTGGAACTTTTCAGGGTAACTGCATCCCCATAGGAGAAGTGCCATCCAGGTTCAGGCTTGCCTGAAAGGTAGAGTCACAATTCCTCTCTATATGAAACATCAACATTCCTACAGATGAAAAGAGAGGCTCTTCTGATCTGAATAAACAGAACACTACGCCAGGTGTGTGACTCGTGTGATTGGGAGGGCAGATCACTTTCCTGATGGTCTGGTAGGAGAGCTAACATTGCTCCCTCCCTACACTTTGTAAAGACTTCACTGTGTTTCACCGAGGGCTCCCTAGCTGTCTCTGTCAGGACTGGGACCTCTGCCTACAACGGGGTATTGCATTTACCCACTTGCTTTAGTCATAGCTTCTTTATACACATGGACACCTCCTGCTGGCCTGAGGCCTGAACTGTTCAATCCAGTGAATAAAGTACTAGGGGAATAAATAAATAAATAAATGCACATGACTGGGGAACGAGATAAGCTTCATGAGACCTCTGCCATTCCAGCCCCACAGGAGACAGTGAACCTGCTCACAAACTAAGAGCATTGCTACTACAATCAGCATCTGAAAAAGCCACTATACAAAGACCCTGTAACCAAGGAATCATACAGTCTTCAACCCTTAAAACTTTCAGAGCTGAACTAGATTACAGTAATAAACTACAAACAGTAAAGTCACATCCTCAAGGGGGTAAAAAGAAATTTAGAAAAACACAGTCAAATTAAAACTAAGTTTAAAAATAATTAGAATTAATAGTCTACCCAACGAGAAGAAATCAGAAAAACAATTCAGATAACTTGAGAAAACAGGGTTCTATAACACATGCAAAAGATCACACAAGCTCTCCAGCAATGGATCCAAATCGAGATGAAATTTTTGACATACCAGATGAAGGATTCAAAAGATTGATTATTAAGCTACTCGAGG